GCGGAGGTATCCCACTTTTGAGGGGGTCCCACGACGCACCCTGAACAGCTATAACTCATATCGAACTTACAGAGCATGGAGGGTGTGTGGGTGTTGGCGCGAATCCATTGTGATCCCGCCTGCCCAACGAGCATTTGCCTTGAACATGTTGTGGTCGGGTGGTGCGCGCTGTTTACACCTTGAGAGCATGCATGGCCATGCCAATAATTCTACAACTCCGTGTGTCGACTGGACTGTAAACCTGCAATGGTAATTCAAGTGTGAATCCAGTAATTTTAATGCTCATTTCTGCCGGGTGGGGGGAGGGGTTCACTCTTACTTTCATGGCCATCAGTTGGACAGCAGGGCTTGGCGTGCTTGGATCTGACCGTATGCCACTGCCATGAGTCAGAGGCGTACGGATAAACTCCGTCGTAGCATGCAAGCAGTGACGTACAGTACAACTTGTCCTTGTCGAGTTGCTTGCACGCAGGGTCGGAGTGGCAGCCGCAGGCACCGATGGCATGGCTGGTTTTCTGTCACTTGTCCTGCGTCGGCAAACTGGTACTCAATCAGGTACGGTACGAGGTTTCACATCGAACAACCGAGAACGAGCTTTCAAAGACCCCTTGTCTGAGGTTGTACTGATGATAAGTATGTCCTGCACGCATTTGACAGCGGGCGAGCCTCGCGGTACACACTTGTGATCTACATCAACGCGAAAACGTGCACATGCACGACATGTGATACCGACATGTCCATATATGATATGCTTTCAGCGCTAATGCGCCAGGTGGATCGGGCGGAGGTGGAACGCCTGAGCAGGACTGCCGCGGCAGCAGAGGATGAATCCTCCCTCTCCCATCCTGTCAGAGAGTGTTGCCACAGCGCAGCACCTGCTGCATGCCGCCTGGATAGCGGCGAATGTGAGTCGGTCATGGTCATGGGCATGGGCCATTCCTTTCCTGAGGAGGGTGCGTCCGCGGGCCACCAGCTCAAACTAACCAGTGCTGGAGAGAGTGGCGGATTGCTGCAGCCGTCCGTGCCGCCCAGAAAACACGTGCGTGCTGCAGGTGATGCACGCGCTCGTGCGACTCATGACGTCTGACTGGCCGCAGGGGGGGGGGAGGGGGGCGACCTGGCGGCCAGCAG